TACTTGTGTCTTTTTAGGATTGAAATCGACAAGATTTTGTCGACCCTAATCCGAGACTTTACCCAAGAGGGTCTCCAGCTCAGACACAAGTTTGTTCCCGGTTCTCATCGGCAATGGCCCGAGAAACATTAGCGCGGGCCGTGTACAGTGCATCACCGGTGCTATCGTCTGCATAACAATGGATGCTGCGTATTCGCAGCATGTCATTGATATGCAGAAGAAACAGGGTGGGCGACAGTACACAGCCCTGTGGGACGCCAGCGTTAATTGGTTTCGGGTCAGAGCATGCACCGTCGACAACGACCTTAATGCTCCGACCCTCCAAAAAGCTGGAAATCCAGGCGCAGAGTTTCTCGGGCAGCCCGTAGGAAGGCAACTTCGAAAGAAGTGCTTTGTGCCACATCCGATCAAAGGCTTTGGCCACGTCCAAACTAACTGCCAGGGCCTCCCCCTTGCGTTCGATCGCCTCCGACCATCGATGCGTGAGGTACGCAAGAAGGTCACCAGCTGAGCGACGCTGACGGAAACCGTACTGGCGGTCACTGATCAGCTGGTGCTCTTCCAGGTACCTCATAAGTTGGCAGTTGATGGTGGAGTTGGCAGTTGATGGTGGTGAACATGTGTCCAATCGACTGTATCACCTTATTCAATAAATATTTATTAGTCATAGTTCGATACGTGGTTAGGCGGCCAGACATCCATCTGTTCAACGTAAGATCACAAATTCTGTTGGATATTATAAAAATTGTAAAATAACTACGCATGAGTAGTTGAGGCGACGCGGGGTGACCGCGGGGGTGGCGCGTCATGACACAAGCGGATTTGCGGCAGAGCTGCTGTGGACTGCGCCGGAGCTGCTGCGCGCCGCGGGGTGCGCGGGGCACGCGGGATGCGCGGAGCTCGCGGGGGCCTCGCAGGCTGGGGACGTGTTCTCCTTCGCAATCATCATGCAGGAGGTGATCGTGCGCGGCGAGCCTTACTGCATGCTGCAGCTGACGCCGGAAGGTTTGTTCTTCGCTCTTTCGTTCCTAAACCAAAATGAATGAAGAGAAAAAATTGTATTTCTAGTTAAGTTATTACTTCGTCCACGTAGGCGAGGAGGGTTATCGTATACATAAAATATGTAGTACGGATACGTCCATACATGACAACATGGATATCATGTGAGATTAAGGAGAGTACGGTACCTGATAAAAAATGTAAGTTAACCGCTAATACAAAGAGGCGGATGACTTTTATTGTACAACCACCACAACATGGGTATCAAATGTATATACTTTTATGATATACATACCTATACAATGTGGTAAAATCCAATTCAAAACATGAAATACAACTTAAAAATTAATAGGGCGGTGGCGCGCGGGGCTTAGCCAAGTTTCGACTCGACACACACCTTTTATGAATCCTTAGAAGAATGAAACCGTTGCAGAGATCGTGGAGAAGCTGCGCCGCGGGCCGCCGCTAGTGCGGCCGTCGGTGTCGCTGGGTGCAGCGCCGCCCGACGCTGTGCGAGTCATGCGCCAGTGCTGGGCGGAGGCGCCGTCACTGCGGCCCGACTTCGGGCGCCTCTACCACCAGTTCCGGCTCATGCACCGCGGCCGGTCTGCACAACACCCCGCCCGCATCACGCCTCGCCATCCCATCCTATTCTTATAATATAACGCTATGAACGGGAATAGTGCCACAGTATGTGTGTACCCTTTTTTTTACTACCACTTCACGGCCGTTTTCTGTACAGTCGTGGTACTGTCACCTTATGTTATAAAAAAAAAACGATTCAGTGGACCATTCGTGCAACGATAGGGAATATGCATGTATTTTTTTTTCTTTTTTCAAACGATTCTACTTGTTATATAATAACCACAAAAAAAAATCAACCATTGAGCTAAAAATAATAAAATAAAATTACGACCATTTTCGAGCGACTAAAACGCGACCGGTGTTGTCAGTAGACAATTGACGTCAATCGTCTATTCCATTCATAACATACGCTCAGATGACACTTCGACGTAAAACACAGCAAAGTTCCTCAAGGTCAAAAAGTCAAAAATCGATTCATTTTTATTATTCCTGGTACAAATAAGTGGTAATTAATAGTTCTATTCATTTTTTATTTATTTTAAAGTTGGTTTTGATATCGTGTTTACAGTAAAATACTTCAAGAGTGTATTTCTATATAAACTAACGTAAATGAATTGTGTATTGACAACACAGCGACGCCATATTAGATAAGCCACTTGCTTCGTCCAATTTTGTGCGTTTTAGAACTTAGCGAGGGAATTTGAAAAAATACACTTTTTAATGATTAAATTTTGCCACTAAATCACATTATATTTAAAAAATCTTTGCAGGATTGTTTTATAGTAATAAAAAGTATACTTTAAAAAAGTTTGGCGTCATATGCATGTTGCCTATTAATGTTGCTGCGAGCTCTACCGCCGTTTAACTGAATAAGTCATAAGGAAAAGCTTTTAAGTCAATTCCTGCTTTTACCAACTTAAGTTTATGTTTTTCGTAAAAGTTTTCAAGCCCTTTTCTCGAGAAAGCTGTAATATCTGCCCTGCCCTCTGGATTATGCTCCGCTTATTGCCGCATGACCGGCGTCGCGGCGACGGCGGCGGCGGCGGCGACGATGTGGACCTTCCATACTTATGTAAATAAATGAACAGGAAAATCAACATCGTCGACTCTATGTTCGAGATGCTGGAGAAGTACAGCAATAATTTAGAAGAACTGATAAAAGAAAGAACAGAGCAGCTAGATATGGAGAAAAAGAAAACTGAGCAACTTCTGAACAGAATGCTGCCGAGGTAAGAGCAGTACCGAGCATGCGAGAGCCGTGTGCACTGCGCAGCCCAATGGCTAGAGTGTTGTTGAAATGGCGTGCGA